TACTATTTAGGGTTCCTCGATGCGCGCGCCCTGAGGAACCCTACTACTATTTGCTCCAAGGCGCGCCCTCGAGTTATTTCGGCGCACTTCGGCGAGTCATTTCGTGTGTGTGCGTGCGTGTGCTTGTGTGTGCGCGCGTGTTTGTGTGTGTGTGTAGGCGTTGTAAAAGGAATAGAGGGGGGAAAAAAGAGAACCAATAGTGTATGCGTACAGGGGACAACAGAATGCAGGGGATAGTTAAATTAAACGCGGGTGGATTGGTGTACAAAATGGGAAAGGGAAAGGAAGGCTTGTCAAAGCTAGAGTCGCTACAGAGCGACGGCGCGGTCGGCCATCTGAAGAGGGCGCAGCTCGCTTCGCGCCTTTCATGCCGTGCCGTAGGCATCGCGGTTTGTGTGATTTTAATTTGCTTCGAAAATAACGCCAAGTTTCCCACCACGATTTTTTCTCCGTATCACTACGTTGCCTGAGGTTGCCTCAGCGCAATCTTTCGATCAGTCAAAAAATAATTGGAGGGCCCTTCCCTTTAAAATACCTCGGGATATGGGGACTTTTAAGAAAAGTTCTGGCAACCAATTTTACACTCAAAGAGCAAGAAGTGTGAAACTACTTGATTAAGCAGACCACTAAGCGATAAAGACTAAGCGATTTCCGGGAATCCTGTAATAGTCGCGTGGCAGCCGACTTCCAGATATTGCAGAAAGAGGATTTTGGGGGAATTTGCTTTGCATACAGTTTCCACTTTTTTTCCCTGCTCCTTTTTTTTTTTGTGGCATTTTTTACATGTGCTGCGCAAATTATCAATGCAACAACCGTACTACACAAACAAGCTAATAGAAAAGCAAGCTACCAAAATTTAGATAATCTACTGATTTTTCAAGCTGAAATCTACTACTATTTTCTGGGGAGCTGTGGCAACACCGATTCCTGCGTTGTTTTCAAAGGAACTTGACAAAAACCTGCTTTCTCGTCAAAACGCCGCAACTTTGGCTTTATCGAAAGAGTCGAGAAAAGTTTGAAGGTCAGTTTTCATGTGCTCGGTTCGTCCGAGAATGTGGATATGTGCCGTGAAAATGAAAAACCAGACGCCATCGGATTACGACTGCTTGGGCGGGAAGCACTTTGGGTTGAATTCACGGATACTTGTGGTTATCAGATCTATTTGTTGTGTTCCGACATGAACGCCGGAAAACCGTCAAGTTGTACGGACCACCTGCGGACTACGTTCAGTGCGTCTTCAAGTTCGAACGGCCGCCTGATCGTTCGAACTGCGTCTGCTCTTTCAAACGCTTCTGCTTGTCGTCTGCTCTTTTGACGACACCGGCCCGTAGACCAAATGTTGGCCCGGTACTAGCGAAAAGTAAGTGCAGGCCTCAAAAAACTCAAGTTTGAAGGTTGGTTGGGGTAAGTAGGCTAAGTGTGAACAGTAGATACAAGGAGATGTTGATCATTGTTACCAGTGGCCATCACAAACTGATTTACCTGGTCCGATTCTGCTCGCGATTTTCAGCATCGACGTTGACCATCTCAGCTACGGGTCATGCTTTTGCAGTCCGAGCGACGTCGCGACTGAAAATTGCGAGCGAAATCTCATTATGTGAATCAGGCTTTAGTGTACATTCTGCAACGTCCACGCAGAATGAATTGCCGCCTGTCACATTATTCACGCGAAGTTTTGCGGTATAACGAGCCTCGGTAATTTCGCTGAGGCCGCTCAAGTAGTCAGGAATTGCCAGGAAGACGTAGAATCAACAATTCGAACATGAAACAGGGCAGGGGGACTCGCACCGACGCCGACAACGTTGCATTTCAATGGTTTGTTTATGGGCGACGGCGAGTTTCTTGCCCACACTCCATCGCGCACGCGCAGCACCGGTGTTGTCCGCTAGGGGCGCTCCGGTTTGTTTGTAAACACGAGTTGGTGTATCACCCCCCAAACCTTGAACAACAGGGATAAGTCACACTGGCAAGAAATGAGCACCGAAAGGGGCTGTTGCTATCGTATGAATTGTATTCGTGGATCGCTCTCCGGGCTATTTGTAGGGCTCACGAGTTTCTTTTCGGTAAGGACCATGTAATCCTTTCATTCCTAAGCTGACAGTACGGTGGAACCTACATGCTCGTCGGACCGCCCCTACGTTACGTCTATCAATTTAGCCACGTGATTATGCTTCCGTGCGTACACGCGTGCGGGGAGTGGGGTCAGGTGATGAAAGGGAGGCAGTTGATTGGTCCGGCGAGGGCGTAACTCCCACAGCACTGTCTGCTCAAAGGTCAACGGAAAACTAGAAATATTTAGAATAGAAAATCTCGGACACAAAAGAAAAGTTACCGTTCAGAATAAAGTTTTCGTGGGCAAAGAAAAAAGCCAAGTACACTAGTTACCCCGACACCACCCATGGTCCCTTTCACCTTATAAACAGCAGAGGGTCGTAGCTCACGCGACACTCGCACGGCGCCGGTTTGGCTTTGATGGCTCGTAGTCTGTGGATCGTTGCAAGTGCCGTTCATCTGTGCAAAGGCCCCAAAGTATCTAAAATAGAATGTGCGACAATTTTTAGATCCACCACTAAATCTATTTTCTGCCAGATTTCTGTACTGAAAAAAAGTTGTTTAATGCGGGAGGCACTCACTTGATCGAATGACGTTTTAGCGAACGCCCACGTTTCATCGAATGACACCTTAGCGAAGAGTCGGACGCCGCGAAGCGGCGTTTTCGGGTGGGCCAAGTGAGTTCATATTTTTGTAATGAGTTGCCGCAGACTGTCGCCGCGAAGCGGCGTAAAGCGCAGCGCGACGGATGGGTTAACGCGCGCCCCCGTTATTCGCTAAAACGACCATTCGCTCAAATGTCGCCGTTCGCTAAAATGTCATTCGCTCTTGTGATATGGACCCGTTTAATGCAAAGCTTTTTTTTTTTTATTAATAAAGTAATTACGTCAATTTCCACAGTCACGCACAAATCTGGATGCTTCTTTTAAAGCATTTAATTTGAACAGATGATACAGGCTGCAAAAATGGCTTTTCAATGGTCAAATTATACCAGAGTTTATTGCTTGCAGAAGATGCGTAGCAAATTGCTGGGCAATTGTGTTGCACATGAAACGTGTGGCATATTTACTTTGGCGATACTTTGGTGTTTCACGCTTACCACAATTTCCCAGCAATTTGCTATGCACTTTTAATATGACTCCTCTGGGATTGGCATCTACGTCTTCATCGGTTAGTTTAGAGAGTGACCTAACGCGTGGTGTGTAAACTCAATAGAGAGTTTTAGTAGATCGTTCCGATACCTCCGATAGCCCCGATAACGATACTATGCATGCGCAAGGGAGGCGGTGGCGGAGTATCGGGATATCGTTATCGGAGTCATGGGAACGATCTACTAAAACTCTCCAATGGCAATTCCTGGAACGGAGATACCGGCGCTAACCTGGGTTTTAAACCCCTGGCACTCTTTCAGAACCTGAACCAGCCGATCAAGGTCGAGCTAGAGAACGCGACATCGTCACCTGGCTCGGCCAATCAGCATCAAGTTAATCGGGGGCTTCACTTTTCGGCTTAAGCAAATTGATGCATTTCAAAGAGGTGTGAGTGAGGGGAAAAGCCCATAGGGAAAAATCGGTATGTTGCGAGAATGGTGCTGTGTATCAAATACCATTGGAGTGCGGGTTTAAGTACATAGGGCAGACATCACGCTGCATTAATAGCAGATTAAACAAACATAAAAGAAATGTGAAGAACAATGCACGAAACTCGGAAATCGCAAAACATATCCATGAATGCAAGAATACGTGGCGCTCTGGTCGGAGACTGAAATCGTACACAATGAGAGGAATAATGTAAAGAGGGTAGTAAGGGAGACTGTGCTAATAAAATCGGGCTTCACTACAGTTCGGAAGCAATTCGAAAAGCATTTTAAAATTGTATTGTTAATTTTTTTTTTTTTTTTAAAGTGTGAAATGGGTATTTCTAGTTGCGATTGTTCAAAATAACTGCAAAGCACTTTTTTTTGGTTTTTGACGTGTGTTGGCCCGAAGCCGCTTCGGCGTTTTTTGGGGGTAGTTTGTGGAGAGGGCGTCCTTTGAACCAGAAGTGGTGACTGTGTTTAGAATGAAACGGGAGAGAGATTCTTTTATTCAAGTTTGAAGGAGGATGAATGTTGCCTTATCGCGTCGACCTGCAATTGAGGTTCTCCACTTTTTTATATTGGGTGATCTAGACTGGCACATGGAACTGTATAGACTTTGTCCTTTGTGTTGGTGATTACCTTGATATTGAGACTATATAAGGAGGTGAACTAAATAAATGAGTTATCAGAGTTTCTGCCTCTTCTTTGTTTTGATGTTTCTTCTTTACCCCCGTCTCAGGTTAATTCAACATGGTCTGAAACAAACATTATCATAAACACTCTGTCCTAATATCATTGTCCAAATTTCGTTCTGAACCATAGCTAGCGATGTACTACGGAAATGTTGACTACACAGCGAGTCGCTGCATTTACATTGTGGCCCCCGTCTGGTGTGCAATTGTCCGTTTTTGATCTAACGCACCACCGCTTTGTACATTTATATTTTCCCAAGCCACGAGGATCGTTACGTTGTCATTGTTCATTCGTCGCGCGGTGCTGTGGTAGCAGTGTTTTGAAGGTTGCAGCTCTTCCTTCCAACATTCTGCCTGGTCAGAACTATGGTTGTGGCTGCGGCTCTGCAAGATAATGGTTCTGGTTTCGAAATATTCAAAGCCACAGACAAGTACTAGCATGGAGTGTTGCGGCACAAGACTGACGATCCTCAATTCTCAGAAAACACAAATGTAGAAAGCGGTGGTATGTTGAACAAAAAACGAGTCCGTGTGACAAAGTGCTATCAGAGGCAGAAAGCTTGCGCTTGAGCATCACCGACTACTACAGTGCTTCCAAATTGGTGAAAATTACATACCCATTTACAAAACAACCTGTTGCAATGTTCGCAGAAAAAAAATTGATAGAAGCATGCTGCTAAGGGTTCAATTTCATTTTATTAACAGTGTGATTTATAATTAAAAAAAATAGTGCTGCAACACAGTTCCAATCGTGCAAAACATTCATCTTAACTTACAATGAGTACTACGTCCACCTCTCGGAACCTTCCAAACCACAATGAAAAGATCCTAAAACATTGAAGAAAAAACTTTCAAAACCGCAGTCATGCTGATGCTACACATGCTTTCCTAAATGCTTGATTTCGTGCACAACTGTAAATTGATAGTATGCACACTGCACACACACTTAAAAAGAAATGAGAGTGCTAAGCTTTGGTGTGGGTTTTCTTTTTTTTCCTCCTTTGCTGTTTTCATCACAGAACAGCAGTTAGCATATCAAACCTGTGGCAGCCATTGTAACAAAAATGAACAAACCCCGTTTTGTCCGTTCATCAGTGATTGGCAAGTTCCAGGAAAAAGAAAATTGTATTCTATGTACAAGATTGACTATCAAACGATGGTGGGTGGCATACAACTTCTCCAACCCAATAAAAAAAATTACCTTTATACATTGGACACATTCTCTTCAGTTCAATGATCCACGCCTTATTGATATTCCTCAAAATCTAAAAGAGCACATTTCTCATATGCTTTTAGTGATGGGATTCCTAAAGAATACTGAAAGTTCAAACACACAAGCCCTTTAATCTTACTTTATACGCCTTTCCAGAAAACGCTCCTAGGCCGCCGCCATGTTGCTGATGCAGCTGGTGCGACTCTCGCGCCCTCTATCAGCTAGAAATTTTCTGCCACTCTCTGGGACTGTGAAGACCCGCTCAGTGCGGTTTTCTACCTACGTTTTTGCGGTCTTGCATTCAACGTTTTCTCGCCTCTCTTGAAAGTTTCAACTTAATTTTTTTATGCGTGCTGCATACCCTTTTTGTGTTAACTTCCATTGTGAGAAATAAGGCTGGTAAGTGCCTGCCAATCAAGCTTTTCTGCTTGACATTCACGGGAAACAAAGCCCCCCCCCCCTCCCCCCCCCCCCCCCCCCCAAAAAAGTTCTTAGTCTTGCCTTGCAAGCTTGACGTAAAAACCGCAATCTTTGTCTCTATCCCAGATAGGAAGCCACCCACCACCTCCTCAAATTGTCTTTTTTGCATAAATTAACTTTTCCTCCTCACGACAGTTGCTATGTGACGACGATGGGGAGAGGGACGCACACGCGTGAAAAACATGCACACACACGTACACGGGGAATACACAAACACATCTGCAAAAGTCATAACCGTCTTCTCCTCGACAGTTTTGGTGTGCTCGAAGGAAGGGAGGTTCCCAAACGCGCACGTGGGAATAAACAAAAAAAAAAACAAGGTAACTCCAGTTCTCACTCTTCCTCAAGCAGTCCTTTTTTTTTTTTCTTTCTTTCTTGCTCCAGTTTTGCCACGACGCACACCCCCACAAATGCGCAACACAAGCTCCACTTGCACAGCTTCTTTCCCACTGGGAAGAGAGAGAGAGAACTCTCGTTCGCGTCATTTCCCTCATTCTTCCGAGACGGCGACATCCTTCGCTTTTGGCTTCCTGGCTTGGATCGCTCCTCTCCGTCACACCAAGAGGACGTCCTCTTTCCCCCCAACCCACCCCCCTTCCCCCTTTCTTCACAACGAGAAAAAATTCCTCGGAAAAAGTTTGTGGCCGACGACCGAATCCGTCCGGTGTTTGGAATCACAGGTGGCGTCGTTCTCGAGAGGTGCCGAGCGACGGTTTGACTTTGCGCGCCCTTGCCCTCGTCCCAGCCGGGGAACGCTGCGGCACCGGGACAGGAGCGCCCCCGGCATTTTGGAGCTTCGGCAGGATCCGCCGAAGAAGACCAACTTTGAGAAGCAGCAAAAAAAAAAAAAAAAAAAAAATCCGTCGCACTTTGCCTTTTTTTTTTTTTTTTGTACAGACGAGAAACGAGAGAAAAAAGGCTCGGACCGGGGAAGCCGAGAAGCGGCGTCGCCACGGCTCTCGTCGCCCGCACGTCTTATCACTGCCACGCTTGGTACGCGAAGGGAATTCACTTTGGCTCCTGAGGAAAGGGACGTTGGTCGACGGGCCAATTGGTCGGTCGGTCGAGGCAGGGGGGCACTGGCCGGGCTTCCGTGCAGCGGGTGGCGGCCCTAGGACTGCTTGATCCGCTTGCGGGGCGGTCCAATGGGTGGGATCTGCTGCGTGGCCAGTGCTCGGAAGGCCTCTGCGATCAGGTGGGGCTGCCGGTGGATCATGGTCTTCCAGCCTGCAGTCTCCATCACGTCCGTGGCATGCCTGCTGGCAAGGAGCAAACCCCAGCCCGCCTCTACCTCAAATTCTAGCTCTCCCCACGGGCGCCGCCGGACCGGCCGCTTGCCCGAGAGTTTCGCGACGATTTTAGCCCGGAATTTCTCGAACGAAAATGTATTGTCATGCAGGGGCAAGAAGGGCACGTTGCGATCTAAACAAATATGACGATCAGCTGGACATAAAAACAAGCAATGGAAAAATTGGCAAAAGAAAAAGGACATACACGGCGCCGTCTTTTGCGCATCCTGCATCTACCTCTATGATTTTGTCTCGAGATTTCAGACACAAATGTCCTGCTCCACGTGTTGCCTAGATTCTGACAGTTCCCACGACTTTCCGCAAACTATGTTCAATTAGTAAATTGATGAATTATTTCGTACGAGAGTTACCCCGACAAGTTGTCTAAGCTTTTCAGACTGTTTATAAAAGACTGTGCCACTAAATCGCCCAATTTTGTCTATTCAATTTTGCTTCCAGTTTGTTTCTTTCTCGTCATTCTTGTAGCATACTGCTTATCATGCTGTTCTGCCTACAATGGAGTGTTGTAGTACGACACCCAGCTGTTCTTCACAATAGGGTTATCGGCGTGTTATTTTTAATTAAAAAACAAAAAATGCCTCAAAAACATTTTTTAAGGTTTCTACCACAAAGATTCCTGAAAGTTTCAGTAAAATTTCCAGAACAAATTGCAAAATAAGAAACCTTACAAGCACCACTCAAACATACTGGTTGGCTGGGCATCAACATCACATCACACACTCTTTGTGACAGAGACAAAATTTTGGCCTCCATTTGGAGCATTCATTGCTCCAAATGGAGGCTAAATTCTTTGCACCTGCTTCTTTATTAGCGGGAATAGACTCGATTCCTTCAGCTCAAGTTGCCTTAGACGAAAGACGTAACATGGCCCAAGACTGAACTGGTAGACACGCGCACAGCAAAACGAAGGACCATTTCCACCTGGTCCTAGTGACTGGCACTGTTCTTTCATTGCTGCGTCAAATGTGACCGACATCAACAAAGTTCTGCCCCAGTTAAGTCTAGGACAATGTCCCCAACAATCCTCAGACCTCCTTAAAGGCCGACGACCAGACCCGAGATTCTGCAAGGCAGAAGATCCTCCTCACCATGGGAGAGGAGAAAACAGCAACGGTGGACAGGGTAGAAGGGGGGAGAGGAGGAAGCGAGGGAAAAGTGGAAAGCGCGAACTGGTAGTCGGTCTTTAAGCGCCAGAACGCCACTGCAGGCGGCGGGACAAGGACGCAAGAAGCCAGCTCACGTGTTGATGAAGTCGATGGCGTGCGCCTTGAGCTGGTCTGCACTGTGCATGTCGGCCAGGATGAGAACTTCGGCCGCCGTTTCTACAGACAGGTTCGAGCAGAGTGCCTCCTCGCACATCACTTTTAACCGCTCCAGGGCATACTGCGCAGACACACAAGCAGAGGGTTAGAGGGTCGTTCCCCTTGCACACGCACAGACACCAAACAGGAGGTGAAGCTCCCATAGGTTTTTAGGGGTCAGACACAGTCATTATTTTAGGTATAAACCAATTATCTAGAATACTATGGTGTGAAGACCATGCACTGAGCAGTTGTCAACCTATTACAAAACTACACTAGAACCTCGGCGATTCATTCCCAATTTATACATTTTCCCAGCTCTTTACGCTCACAAACGACTGTCCCGTTGAACCCCTACAGGGATATGTATTCATTTAAAATTTCTTGCATTAGCCTTCCTGGCTGTTTAAAAGAAAAGGAACGGGGGTGGGGGTACTTTGGCAATACCCAACGAAATCACTGTATGCAGAATACATTTTTAGGTCGGCAAATCTCCGTGCCATCGATGATGTACCGAAAACTGCACACTAATTTCCGACAAGAACGTCATTGGTTGTCGTTATGGTCAGAAGATCACTTATGCCAGCCAATGGGGGTGAGGCATGACCCAACTGCTGCATCAGCGACACTATTAAGGCCCGTTCACACTCTTGCAACCGAGTACGACCGAGAGAGACCAGACCGGTTTTTAAGCCTCTTGTGATCTCTTAGGACCAGCTCCGCTGCCTCGCATCCGGTCCTAAGAAGTCGCTCTCAGTCGTACTCGGTCGCAAGAGTGTGAACGGGCCTTTACAATGACCACTAAAGTTCGAGATATAGCGAGCCAACAAAGTCCCTAAATTTGGTGGGCGATGACTGCAGGCGAGACATTGTTCGCCAAAGTTAGCTGACACGAGACACTTTTGCGTAATGAACCAGGTCCTTCCCTATTAACATATTAGAATTCCCTATTCGAGGAAGGGAGAAAGGGATTCCATGACAGTCAACAAGGGTCGTAGGCTTCTCAAATCTATAGAGCTTGAGTAGTCGTCACACAATGTATATGTGTAGTATGTGGCGTTGTCAAGAGCAAGAGAAAGAAGGAGAGAGGGAGAGAGAGAGGGAGACCTTGTCGGCAGCAGCCAGGAGGTCGTCGGCCATCTTGTCCAGGTTGGGTGCCCGCCCCGTGTAGATGAAGCGCAGCATCTCCCGCAACACCTCGTGGTCCATGTCCGTGATCTCCACACGGTTCTGTTTCTTCTCCTCCATCTCGTGCTCAAACATGGCCGCAAACACAGGGGACCGCGCTACACACACAGAGGGGAAAAAGAGCATTTGGTGAATCTGAACAACAAACTAAACACTAACAACTCGACTGAAGCAGCCAAATGAGCCACTTGGTCAAACATTGTTTGTAACCAAGTGATGCGAAAACTCAATGGATGAACAGATCAAAGACTTGCACAGGACAGGCACTCACTCTCGGTAAATAATTGTCTTTTTTTTTTTTTTCTCGCCAACTTGGTCAGTGTTTTTCCAAAAACAGTGATTGATGCAAACAAACTATATACTGAATTTCATTCGAAATATACACTACTACGAAAAGCACCTGCTTCAGACTTTGTTCACTGTAAATGAAATAAATACAAAACTCACAAAAATGCTTGAAAAGCCAGGTCAGGGTAAATAAAGCAAACAGAAATAATGTTATGATAAAAAAAAAAGAAGATTACACTGCAAAGAATGTACTGAATGCTGATTCAAAGGAAGACAAACTATGATAAATATTGGGTAGGCAGTCTTTCAGGGTGGGGCAGCGAGAATTCCTACAAAAATGAGCGCTCAACATGCAATCACTCACTGGGAACTTGGACAACATGGGACCAGGAACTAACTGATGTGGCTTTGTATTTGAGAAAACTGAATAGCTTTCATTCAACCTCCAAAACCAAATAAAAAAAAATAAAAAATATTTTTGAAGTTTTTGTTGAGCAGTTGCCAAAGTGGTTCTCTCTTTTTGCTTCCATTGCTGGTTTTTGGTATTTGTCTTTGCACTTGTTTCTGCTAGATGTGCAATAGTTCTATCGCCTTGCCCAACCTTCCGGGTGGCAGCTTCACAATGCCGTCCTTGCGTCCTGAGAGGTGCACAGGTGCTTGCGCACCTTCCGTGCTTATCGAGCCAGATATGAGCTCCCTAAACTCTATAAATGCCACAGGAACTGGTCTTTGAATATACAGGTAGACTGTTCACAAAATTAATGGAATGCCAGTAAGCAGATTGAAGCTCTAGGTAATCATGCAGCATGTGCCAACTTTTTCGAAAGTAAATGACGAAAACAAGTGTCTATGGCAAATTATGGTTTGTCTTGTTGAAGAATCTCTCCAGTTTCCCTCTATGTTATCACGAGTGGTTTTATCCTTAGTGCAGGAAACAATTTTGGCCTAACAACAACTGTGACATCTTTGCAGCAGCCCATGAGGCATTACATATGCATCAGCAGTGTGCATGGCAACATGCTTATCATGGCCACTGCCACCGTTGGCCAGCTGTCACTCAACACAGCAGAGCATGCAATCAAATCCACCACATGTAACCAGTTTTATTTGTATGAAATTACTTTTCAACTTTTATTTAAATAAAATGGGTAGACGAATAAAACGGGAAGTTTTTTTTGTTGATCATAAGCTTATTTATACACTTTTAGGGGCAAAGCTCCTTAGGGTCTAGCCTTGTCCGGCATCCGTGCTCACATTGATTGCCATCCCATCTGTCTTCTTAAAAAAAGCAAAATGTTTGTGCAGTAGACAGGATTCGAACCTGTGCGGGGAGACCCCAATGGATTTCTAGTCCATCGCCTTAAAACCACTCGGCCACGACTGCGGGACGAGTAGGGGGCTCCGAGATGTGGTAGTAACTCAAGAGCTGGGGATGTCATGGATGAAACGTTGCATGTAGCCGCTCAACGTCTATACAGGAGAAGGCGCTGCAGTCAAATGCGTATATAATCGCGTTAAACTTTGCATGCATTGGCTCAATGTTTATAGACGAGAGGGCGCTGCGGTCAAATGCTCAACTGCGTATATAACCACGATCCATACCACACATTGTCTTTCTGACATGGACCGTTGACTCAAGCGGTGGAGATGCGTTCCCACGACTTCTAGCGGATCCAAGCTGATCCGCTAGAAGAACCACTGGCTCTGCATTTCACCGACCATAAAGCAGTAATAATGAAGTCGAAACGCAACTTGGAACTCAGCACTACCTATGAGCAATAACAAAAAATCAGCACCATCAGCACTACCTATGAATAAAATCAGTATCATCAGCACCATTAGAGCTTTGCCCCAATCAACATCATTCACCAGATGCGGTAATTTTTTTTTTTGCAGTAAAATAACCAGTAATCCATGTATGCTCGAGTTCAGACTCGAAAACTGCCAGATACGTATTCGCCCGTTTGCCTTTATATTATTGCACACACAGACTCAAAATAAGCCTTCGCTCTTCTATGAAAACGAGTACCCTGCATGCATAAATACATCATCTCTAACTTGCTGTTCTCATTTCAGCTTGCGCTTTTAAAGATTCCTTCTGCAGGGTATGCAAAACATTTCATTACACTATTTTTCTTAATGTACAAGGCCATTTCCCCCCCCCCCCCCCCCCCCCCCTCCTTTTTGCAATTACAGTTGCAAACCGATTTTTTGGACCCCGATAATTCTGACTTGTTCCTTATTTCGAACCAAAAGAAAGAACTGTGACCTACCTGATAGAAATAGTGCATATTCCCCACCAATATTTCGGACAGCTTAAGGTCCAAAAGTTTGGTGTTTCAAACAAAATTGTTGCGAGCGAATAATGGGAACACCACCAAGAGGCCACCATTTTAGGTTCTATGTTGACTGCACATGGATCGGCACGGTTTGGCAGCGCTACTTGGTTACTCCATGGCTGAGTCCTACTGCCAAGTGACACTACGCTACGGAGTATTTTTTTTTCTAGCTGCACGTCATTATCATCACTGCTGTTACCACTTTGCTTTGTTCATTCGCCATCCTGCAGTCATGGACTTGGGCTTCTCATCTCGTCTCGGTGAATTGAGTTTTCAGACTACGCTGGCTTGGACGTTATGGCCCCCATCCATCTGTTCTTTTAACGCCGCAAAGTGTTGCTTAGAAGCGCGAAAAGCACTCGACCATAACGCTAGAAAAGAAGGCAGTGATTCTCAAGCTAATGCTAGAAAGTGGCCGAAAGCAAAGGGAGGCATAACCTGAAGCAATGCACTATTGGCGGCTTTTTTAAGCCTGCTTTGATGTAATAATAAAGGCTAGTGTTTAATCTGCAAATTTTTCGGACTGCTTTTTCATTCTGACATTTTCTCGGTCCCAGCGAAGTGTGAAAAATCGGTTGGCGACTGTGAACAGTAATGCTGTATAAATGCCAAAATCAAGTTCAAATGGTAAATAAATAAATAAATATATGCCAAATCAACGAAGACATCTCGCACGTTCCGGCGAAGGACTGAGCAATAATTTCTACCATCTGGGGATCGTTTTGTTGTGAAACCACCTTGGCTGGCATGTAAGCACCTTGGCTGGGATTCGAACTGGACATCCGAAGACAGGCAATGCTTCATTTCAAAGCCACCGAGGCGGCAGATTCATTGAATCCGAAAGGATGTGCCTACGACGCGAAGCAGCAAGGACAGGAAATGGGCAGAAAAAGGACCGTCTCCCTCACCAGCGAGAATGGCCTTGTGAGCGTAGAACTCCCTGCCGTTGACGCTGAGGATGACGTCGCTGAACTTCTGGCTTTCAAAGAGGTGGCCAAAGTCGTCCGAGAGACGGCACTCGGGCACCTTGAATTGGATGGCGTTGTTCTGACCAGAAATGTTCACGGAGTCTGCCACCACGCTCACCTGCAGCAACCAAGGGAAGCAGCCAATTAACATCAAGCATCGAGTCGACCCAAAACCCTATTTAAAAAAAGAGTTTAGTTTTTTTAATGTTCTTTTAACACAAGTTGTTTTGAGGAATTACTGACCCTCAACTGCTTAATTGTTGTCTTCAAAATTACATTTCTCGCCTTCAAAATCACATTTCTAATCACAAACCAAAAAAAAAAAAAAAAAAAAATTTAGTGCTGTCATTTGTTAGCACAGCTGCAAGCCAAGCTATAAGCGAGCCTGGTTCGTCCAAAATGGTTGAGTGCATGAACGAAAGAAGCAGACAAGCTATACTTATCCTGATACTTCTAAAAATTGCAGTGCCCTGGCCAAGGGTGATGTTGGCCAAAATGGGGTTAGTTACCTACAGCGGAAGATGAGCAAACCTTCCTGACTGGGAAGTCTATGTTCCATTGCCCCTCAATGTAAAGAAGTGTGGCAAATCACAAAATACAAAATTCACATTTTTAAAATTTTTTTTTTGCTCATACACTGAAAGTCAGCTGAAAGACACCCAATATGCTCTCGCTTTTGAGTGGGCTACCTCTTGGGATATTACTGTAGGCTCGTTTGAAACGCTTAGGGGGTTAAGCCCACTTTGTTGATTCTGGCAAGGCTGCACGTTTCTTACAAACCCCGTGAACAACTAGGTATAACTGCCCTCCATTATTCAGCAATGATTTTAACTCATTTTGTATTCTGCTTTCTAAAGGATGATCTTTGGAGTGCTTGCACAAATTGAGAAAACAGCAGCCTATTTAAGAGGATAACACGGCACAATAGAAACAATTTTTGCTGTTGCAAGACCTAACATCTAGCCTCCAGCTGCTCAGAGAGCAGAGGAGGAAGAAAAATGTGGGGGTAAAATAGAAACTATTAAAAGGAGCGAGTGCTGAAAGCATCGGTTCTCTCTTCAAGGGAGGATATCTGCAGCACCTGCCAGTTTGCTTTTCCATTCACTCCAGACTATCATGGGACACCATCTTAGTTCCCTTCACATGCAGCTATTTTCACCAGCGAGAAACCTTAAGAAAATAACGAAGCTTTGGCTGTTTTCAAAAATTTCCAAAGGTTTCAGTTTTGCATTTTAATGATATCGTTACTAAAACCAAGATCATTTCTCCTTTCGGACGACTGGCATAGCAGTGCCATCAAGAAATTCTTGTGATCGACAAAGAGAACCAGCCAGAGTAAATAGATTGCATGTGATTCATATGCAAGTAGACCGTCTGTTGCACTCTATGCAAGCACTATCACCGGCACACTAAAATCGGACTGTTATAGAACTTTGTGCAAGATGTCCGAGGCCTTTTGTAAGAACACGAATTGATGGTTTATATCTGAAGTTCATGTTCTCATTCAACGCCTGCAATTGGTCTCAATGAACATTCCACATATTTGCAAAGGGCGTATGCAGCAAAACCATCCAAATCCTGAAATACCCAAACTTCCATCGCCTAAAGCAGTGGTTCTCAACTGGGAGCCCGCGGACGTATTGCGGTCTGCGAAGGCATTCCGGGGGTCCGTAAAGCCCTGCCTCATCGCTCAACAAATTTGGCAATAATTTTTTTTTTTTTTTAGATTGAGAAGAAATGTTTCCGATTTCCGGGCGAGTTTTTTCTTGTGTATGCCAATGAGAGTAGTCTACTTCACATTAGCCCTTAGTTATATCACTTAAAGGGATACTACAACAAACTTTCGGCACTTATTTCTTGGTCTGTTCGTGTTCAAGGGAGCACTATCACATCAGACACACCAATCTCTTGCTGAAAAAGACACGAAAGGAAATTTTTAAAGCAAATTAATCGATCAGCAAAGAGCACCTGGTGGATGTCGCTAACGCCTCGTTTGTAGTGCCCGTTTAGGAACCTTTAGAGTTAGCGACGGTAACTGTCTTACCTCCGGCTACATGAGAGAATAGCTGAAGGCAAAACTCCCCCCTCCCCGAGACTGTGTCCCAGAAGTAGCTATTGTCCCTCTACAAGATTATAGAAGATTAACCAGTCACTCAAAATTCGTACAAGGGCAACTTTCGGGTTACTTGCGGTGGCCAGATGGCAGGTGTGCTTTGGCTGCTTTCAGCGGATGCTATGAGCCATCGCAGCGACGCGCGAAAAGCGTATCACGGGCTACGTCCGCGGAGCGGGATTGACTGAAATAGCTCGCAGCGTCCTCTGCGTCCGGACGTAAGGTCCCCAGACAATCTACGTCACGATTGCGGCGGATGCGACGTGCTCTCCGCTGGGTGCTCTCCGAGTGCTTGCCAGAGTGGGCCGTTTGTAACAAAAAATACCGCCATCAGGCTCAAAATACAAACATGCGATTGTCATTTAGGGATATTGTGGATCATATTCAGCCTATTTGCAAACACGACGGGTACATTTCAAATTTTGTTGAAGTATCCCTTTAATAATTTATTATCACAATTAACCTAAAGCTTTCCCTTCCCCTCACCATAACTCCGCTGATCAACACGGGGTCTGCGAAACATCAATGGCTGAGAACCACAGGCCTAAAGAAGCTTAAAGAGTTCCAAAAGGTTCAGAACTGAGCTACGGGTATTTCACCCGATCAACTGTACTCTCATTCACCTTGAGAACCGAAGTGAAAAAACGTCCCACTTCTTGCGGAGCATTACTGATTTATATAATGCTTCTCAATTTACTTCTTGAGGTGAATTAAGATATATGTGGGCGAGTTTTATATTATTCTGTCAAGACATGGACGTTTCAAACACCAAAAACATAGTTTAGCAGAGTTTCTTCATCCAACAACCAGATCTCGAAAGTACTGCCTCACGCAATGCACGAATAATGTGCAAAACTTTTTTTTCTTGATGTCGCAACAGCATGGCTTTGACCCATCCAAAGGGGCTCTCCAAAGTGGTCACATATGCGGCTACTTTGGAGGATGGCCCAGCTATTTGCCACTTATAGTCAATGATGGGCAAAGAACTGAGTAGATGCTCCCTCTTGAGTGCGATCTCTCTGCCTTTGACGACAGTTTGTGGCAGGCGCAGCCAAAGCCTGGCGGCAGGCAACAAGCTGGAGGCGAAGCATCTACCGGGTCCTTAACCCGCCGCCGACCACAGGTGTGCGGGACGTAGCGGCACTGGGTGCCCTGCGGGGGCAGAGCAGAAGGGGGGGTCCTTGCCTCGCAGTACAGGGTGAGCTTGTCGTCGGGCAGCAGCCCGTTGGCCTCATCGAGCAAGAAGTCCCGCCGGATGAACTTCTTGAAGCCCCAGTCCTTTCCCTGCACAAACCGGTATGCCCGCTGGCTCTCTGCGAGGGAACAAAAAGGCACTAGGTGAAACAAGGCCCACGTCTCTTTCCATCCCCTACGACAGTGGGAACGGCTCGTACCGGTCACCCAAGCTTCGATTTCCTAGACTTCACTTACACTTTTGGGACGTTTCGGACATTCCATACAGAGGGACTTCAGCCTTGAGAATGAAATAAATAAATATCATTTTAGGTCTGTGAAAATTCCATTGTTGCCCACTTCCTCCTCTTCCAAACTCCCTGTTCTGCTTCACTTCTTCTCTATTAGAGTGTGATTCCCTCCCCCACAAAAGAGAGAGCCTTTTCTCCAAATTTTTTCTTTCCCTCGCTTCCTCAGAGGTTGGAAGAGGAAGACGCAAATGAGGTTACTTTCCTTGCCGGAAATCCGAGACTGTATGTCAGCCGATAACAAATGTCCCTTGTAGAGACAAGCTTTACGCAACATGCTGATGCACAATACAAACGAAAGAGGAACATGCCACTCTAAAAAAAGATCAATGCAAAAGCACTACCGTGATACCATTTGCTCGAGAGTCCATCTATTTCGGAGACAGCGTCCCGAAATAAAAGCATGTTTCCCAATCTCTCCCCATTCAGGGTATGCCCCAGCAATGTAAGCATTGCACCAAAAATATTTTATCTTCCAGCAATCATTTTATATTATAAAATAATTTTTATTGGAATACAAAATACCTTATATTCTAGCAACTGCCTTGGGGCGTAGTGGCGTAGCACCGATTTTCCTCCTTCACGAACAACAAAACACTGTACATACATCCGTGCCTCGCAGTCTACAGTCTACACGGGAGCAGGAGAGGGTGAGGAGCCCTGCCCCCTCTCTCGCCACCCTGCCACAAACCAGCGACCAGCGGCAAAAGAGCACGCCAAGCCAGTGTAAAGGAAGCCGGAGCCAAAGAGGGCAAATATACCCATCAGCGCCTTTTTCTCCTTTCTCGTCACTCGTAGAGAACCGTCGCAAAGTGAACGTCAACTCAGTTTCCCCGCAAATGTATGGAAAAGTCACATGACCCGCCCTTCCTCGATGTCACCCCGCAAACCCTCATCGAACCCATAGCCCCTCAGGGACCTCATCCTCACCAAACTCGCCGACCTCACAAACTCGCCGACCTCACTAACTCGCCGACCTCACTAACTTACCGAACTGACACCCCTCATTCATCCTCAAACTCCTGAATTTTTGAGGCTTACAAACTCAATCACCTTTACCTCATGCCCGATCGGTGAGGGAAAGTAAGGCGAGTGAGTGCATTCATGAGCGAGTTTTACCGAGGAGTGAACCTGAGAGTAGAAAATTCCTTAGAACGGCTAGAAGTAGCAAACACTTCTAGCCAGCTTTTTGCAAACTTTGAATGAAGACTGCTAAGCTTGAAGACCAATCACTTCAGGGTCTGACCAATGCACAGTGGGGCGGCACTTTGAAGCATGCTTAAGGGAGCAAACAAGTAGACCAAGGTCGACCCTGCCCCCAGGTAGCTACAGGAGTATTGGTGAGGACATTGATATGTAGGAGGCGTTTAGTCTAGTTTGTTTTCCACAGGGCTCGGTGTTTACCAAACACAAGGCCTGTGGATGGAATTCTTTACGTCACTTTTCTTGATCGAGCGTAGTGCACAGATTGGATGCAAGTGCTCCATCAGCGTTTGGGTACTTCGGCTGGGCGTTTGGTCAGAAACATAAATACTTCTCATTGTTATTGTCCCCGTCAGTTTTTGTTCTCAACTTGGCCACTGGGGCAGCAATGGTTGGATTTCTTCCCCGGTATACACAGCCACCCCCCGGGGAAGTGGCACGCAAGAATGCAGGTTGGCTGCTACCCTGAGGTGCTCACCCATTGCTTTGGTCTCCTCTCTCTTGGCGTTGAGGATGGAGAACTTGAACTTGGCTCGGACCTCGCTCTTGTTGCAGGAGACGAGCAGAAGGTAGAGCGATAGGTAGTCCTTGCTCTCCTCGTCCAGGCCCTTGGGGTTCACCCGCAGGCACCTGGGACACACAGGCAGCCCTTCGGGACCCTCCTCTCCGACAGACACGAGCGAGAAGGCGCACACAACCGCTCACTCTTTAAATGGTAGCATCAAAGATCCTCACACAATTCAAGATAAAAAGCATTCACCGACAAGGTCTGATAAAGCTCCACAGATATGGTTCGTTTCTCCAAATTCCAAGAGCCCATTTTAGTGCCATTGAGAGAGTAGACGGTTTGAGGGCCCATCTAACAAATCTTATATAGCTACTGTTGTCTTCAAAGAATGTCAAACTTAATTTCAATTGATCTAGGTGTGAGAACTACTAAATATGATACGGTACACTAACTTCAAAGAGAGACCTGAACATTTTCTGGCCAACTTTTCTTTTCCTGACGGCCAAAGGGGAGGAAGGAAAATATAAGGGACCGTTTACTGACCTACTTAAACCTAACATCCCTCCCATAACCATAGAGCATTCTCTAGTCCCCCAAACCTTGCATACAAGAGAAGTTTTTTACTTCTCCCCTTTACAAGTACAAAGTTGAAATTGATTAGGTTATATTAAACCGAATGACAAAGCCCCACTGCACTAGCAAGGATGTGAAAGCTACTTGTGTACGAGTAGCCTTCGAAGGCGATGCTGTATGGTTTTCATCACCATTGAATTGTGGCAGATGGGAACATAGTTTTTTTCCAGCTTGTTGCAGGTGGAGATGTTGAACGGCTGTGGACAGGGAGGGGTGTACCCACCACTTGAGCTTGTCGTTGGCTCCGGCTGAGAAGGTGGAGCTCTTGAGCACTTCACCCATCTCTTCTCGGCAGAAGCTGAAGTTGTTAATGGTCCACATGTAGGAAAACTTGATCACTTTCACCTGAAATGACACAAATAACAAACATATATCACATGGTGCCCTGCCTCGTTTATACCATGCAACACGTGAAGAGAGGTGCCATGCACAAAGAAGCAGATGCATGTATGTCTAGGCAGCCAACCTAGTGCACAAAATAAAACCTGGGCAGGAGCCCAGAAACTGCATGTCTTGCTTCTTTTCTGATTACCTTTCTGTAATGCTAGCCACTCTGACAGTTTGCACCACCGGCTACCAGTGAAATCGGCAAGTCATACAGATTAAACGAGGGGAGAAAGACCGTCCAAATTCAAGTCATATCCTTCAACCCTGCGTGGAGGCTACCCCATCCTTACGACAATGGCAACCTTGCATCACCCCACTGCATGGTCTTTGAGCAGAATAGATTTTTTTCTGGTTTGCAGCTTGTTGACAAAGAATTGCACTGTAGGGGGAATGCACACGGATGTCACGTCATGCTGACTATTGGGAAATGCAGGTGCCAAGTGCCTAAACTCACAACAGTTGGATGAGTGAGATGAGTAAGAAAATGACATAAGTGAGGCAGATGCAACAGTGGCTGTTAGACTGCTCATGATGATGTGTCTGCTGGTAGCCAGGGATGAACGCATGACAAGGAAACTTTAAAAATGCATGTAGAAGTCTTTTTTTTATAAAGTTTTTTTTTAGGTTTATTTTCAGTGAAACATACATTTAGAAAAGTCAATCAGCTTATCTGCTCACTACTGAGAGGAGCAAGCAATATCATAAAGAAAACAACTGTTACTCTGTACAAAATGAAACTGAACATAAGGAGTCTTCCTTTGGTCCAAATTAGTGAGCATTGTCTGACAAAGGGGTCTCCAAACCCCGATCCGCGGAAGTCTATGGACTGGCCAGTGGCTGGCTTAAGTCCTTCCAATAAAGCCCGGCCCGTGGCCCCCTTCCAGCAGATCTGCTGCTACCGGCACAAAATAAAGATCACGCAAAGAAACGGCACTGCAATGCGCTCACAAAGATACCAGAGAGAATGAGAGAACTGCACTGCAACACAGGCCCTCTCGTCATAATATTTATTGAATACTGTCATCAGCATCACCAGTCTTAGTTCCCTTCCCCGATTCATGTCTCTGTAACTTTGTTAAAATTTATTTGCATTCTCATGTACAGTGTGCCGTGACCTTTGTCACAATTACTACATATTGTCAGCATTAGTTTTATCATTATCATTAGTCTTTTACACTGGGTGAATGTGCCTAATTTCCCAAGTGCTTTGACTTATGCCTGGTGAATACTCATCATCACAATTTTCGTGCAAGGTCATAATCAGCAATATATTAAATTTCAAATTAAAGTAAACACATTCATCAAACTTAGGGTGCTGTTTTAGAGCGCAGCTTTTAGGCGCCAGTTTCCGGCTTGAGCGGCGTTGCTGTCGGCGTAACTGCAAGGTCACATGCCCCCCCCCCCCCCTTCAGTCACGTGACCTCAGGGCGGGGGGGTGTCACGTGACCTCACGGGGGGCCAAGTGAGACCACATGGACCCTGTGGCAGAGTAGCAGGCAGGATGGCGAGGTGAGGAGAAGGGACGAGGGATATACCCTCCCCTCAGTACCCTTCCATCCTCCTCCTCAAGAGCTGCACTCTAATTGAGCATTACAGGGAGTTGTAAAAGGCTTTCATTTTTTTATACTTACTCTAACAATAATTTGTGTTAAAATGCTTATCTAGGTTTGTTTATTCGGTTCTTTCCTTTTTATAATTTACTCCTTTCTTCCAGCCCTTGAGACCTGCGACAGTTCTCTAATCTGGTCTCTTAGCCAAAAGGTTTGAAGACCTCTGGTCTAACACTAAATGGAATTAATACTTGCATTATATTTGGCTGGGATTTGCTGTGCATAAAACAACGACAATTGGAGAACATGAGCCATCGGGTCGAAGCGACACTCTTGAGCACCACGAGTGCAGCTGGTCGCTAATAGCTGAATCTTAATAAAAATCAAAGATTCAGTGGTAGAGTCTATGTGAATACAAAGGTTTAATCTAATCATCTTTCTTTTTGTTTCTCAAGTAAACTAAGACAATATTTCCCCTATAGAAGTTTCCTGTCAATTTTTTTCCTAGATCTTTTCTTTTTTCGCTAAAGTAGATTAGGACATTTCTCTTACAGAAGCATCCTATAAGTTTTCTTACTAAATGATCTTTCCTTTTAGTTGCTGAAGAAGACTAAGACAAGATTTCTCTCATAGAAGTATCCTGTCAGTTTTCTTCCCGACTAAATGGGTACGGAGAAAGAGCTCTATCATTCTTGGGTATACACCTCAAACAAAGGGGGTATGGAAAAGGAAACAAATATGTTAGCCCCAGACAAAGGGAAGCAAATTAGACCATGTACTAACTATGGGGTAAGCCATCCAACAAATTTCCCGTGCTGCAGGCGGCGACACATATGCGTGCCTGTGCCTGGGGCACACCAGGAAGTGTGGGTGGGGCATTCAACCTTTGCTCCAGTTTAGGCTGCAGGCCCGTCAGCCCAGGTAACAGGAAACAAGACCAAGATAGCTACAGCGGACTGCCTGGAGGAGACAACTACATGTAGCAAAAATTAGAAACTAGAGAACAGAATGTGTGCCAGCTACACGTTTTGACGGATGTTATGTCCACTTCTCGGGATCGGGCTAATTTCAGGTCACATGAGCAGGGAAAGAGGAGGGAAGAGGTTAAACAGATGGCCCAGCTGGGCTCCCCGGACGTGGGCCTCTGGAGCCTGAACATCTCGGGGATGTATGTACAAAAAAGAGTTAGGGGAAACCCCTCCTAGCAGTAAACTTTCCCTGTACCTGCAAGGAATCCCCTGAACCTGTCTGGCCCTGCCTGCACCACAGACTTGCACCTTGCAATTGATGGTTGCCGGTAAGGGTGGGGTGGGGTGGGGTGGGGGGGGGGGGGGGGGGGGTTCTGAAGGAACTGCTTTTTCTGTCTTCTTGCAGGGAACAGAGTTGCGATTCTAATGAATTACTGAGAATGAATGTCATAAAAAGTCCCAAGTTTTTAAGAGGTACCTGGAGCAAAATATAACGATGTTGAAAGGTGCAGTCTCCAGGCAACCGATTTTGGTTCCTTTTGGATGCTGCCTGGACAACAGCCCTCACAAAAAAAGCTCGTGGGACGAAATCTCCAACTTCCCGCTTTACTGAACCAGAGAGGCCAAATCCAAAGCAACCATGACTTTGAGAGAGACCCCCAAGCAGGGAAGCTGCTGTTGTGTGTGTTTGAGCATGTGCCTGTGAGAGGAAAGACAAAGAGAAACAAGGACCAGATAAAAGGAGGCACAATAGCCAGCACCTCCATGGGCCAAACAGGCTGGATGAAGACAGATTTATAGTTGGAGGTCCCTGGTGCCCCACCATAACAGCTGGAGGGGAGTTGCCACATAGAAACAGCGGGGCAGTACACTCACCCATCCCCCCTTTCTTTTTTCTAGAAAAAAAAAAATCTAGGCAAAAAAATAAAAAAAAATACTAGGCAAAAAAAAAAAAAAAAAAGTATGAAAGTATGGAAGGAAGGAAGGGAAGTGATATCGAGGGGCCCACGCCCCCTAAGCTCGTCTGGGGAGCATCGCGGGGCCCCACGTGAGAATTTATGCTCCGAGGTCCGCGACCTTCCCGTCGAAACCCCAAAGACCGTTTTTCACGACGCCCTCCTCCGCCGCCGTCGTCCTCGTGGAAGACCCGCACGGACACAGACACACGAAGATGCAAAGGCCTCGGGACGCGAATGTGGCCATGTGTTGCCGGCCTCCCTCTGCCGTTTGGGCGGACGCTGCTGTCTCATCGTCGCCATCGTGCGCACTGGCCTCGAGCGCACGATGGCGCTCCAAGTTCGATACTGTGCGTGTGTAAGAGTTGTAAAAGGAAATTAGGGGGGGGAAAGTGAGAGCCAGTAGCGTACGCGCACAGGGCGCATTTGTCACTGGCTCAAGTTTGATACTCGCTATAACCACTCGGCGAGATCTCTGGCCGTTGCGATTGGCCGGCGACAAGGTCAAGCGCGCCGCTGGCCAATCGCTGCGGTAGATCTCGCCGCCAACTTTCTCGTTAGGTGTCCAACAACCGAAGCGAGTCATTGGAGATCCTCAAGTAATAGTGCGTTCAACTCAAACCATGAAGAGCGTTTGCAATTTAATGGCGGCGGTAGAGATTATACACACTATGTTGCTTTAAAAAAAAAAAAAAAAATGCTGATCATCTCGGAACAAAAATGGTGTCTATAGTAAAGTGTTATTTTATTCTTCGCGTATAATCTTCAAGCATCTCCAGGGCTGTTTATAACCGGATTTACGTTGAAAAACCACACGTAGCCCCATAAACCCACAACAAAATTTCGCAATTTAATGGCGCCCATAAACACGTATCCCGATCTAACAGTTGAACAAACTCTTACTTTAGGCTCTCTACAAGTCATACATTGACGCGCACAGCTCTAACTGTAAAAAAAAAAAAAAAAAAAAAAAAAAAAAAGAGCTTTACAAAGATTTATTGTCAAGGACTTAATTTTCGCGGGCTCGATGTTTGGCGAAGTGTGCGTTTCACGAATATTCCGCGTGTACAAAATTTCGCGATTGGGAGTGGTACACTGGTACGTGATGTATTAGTTCACGAGATTTTGGAATTCGCGAAATCTGCGAAATCGAGGTTCTCACGAAACTTAAGTCGTTCACGGTATAAAACCATCTTCGGTTTAATTCTTGCGTTGCAAGCCGGAAAGAGACCTCAAACATGAACGAGCTCTTTTGTTTGTTGGTTTTTCTAGAGGAAACCCTTACACGAGGATCATCAAAGGGCACGCACAGACAATGGCACCGCATCTCGAGAACAGACGCGTCCTTCGAAACCACGTGTGTCTTTCCATACATCCAGCGTGAAATGTGAAGAGCCTGGAAAGCCACAAAGAAAGCGGAGGCATCGAAAAAGCCGCAGGACAAGAGCCGAGAACACAATAAGCCCGAAAGAAAGTAAATCCCG